CCGTCCTCCTCCTCCTCGCCCACGGCCGCGTCCTCCCCGCCATCCTCGTCCTGGATCCACATCCGCTCGCTCCTCGTCGCGGCCGCCTCGTCCAACTCCTCCTCCTCGGCGGCGGCGGCGGCGGCGGCCGCCGCCGCGGCCGCGGGGAGCTCCGTGCCCGCCTTGGCGTCTGCTGCGTCGGCGGCGGCCGCGGCCTCGTCCTCGTCCTCGCCCGCCGCCTCCTCCTCGCCGCGCTCTGATCGGTGGGTTCCCTCCCCTTCCCCCCTCTGGATTGGCCAGAGCCGGCGAGTAAAAATGCCAACTTTTCAGCCTTTCCATAGCTTCTGATCTGGTGCTGTGGGCTCCGGCATACCTCGCTGTAGTTGAATTGGTGGCCTGGAGTCCAGTGAAATGCTCGAATTAGGATTTTTTTTTTCTGTTTCGATCCAGTCGAGCTTTGCGTTCCAGTTTCGATTAGAGTGGATCGTGTGGTGATGGCTTGGCTAAGTGCTTCAACCACTTGTCATCTCTACGAATGAATTAGCTCTATACTTTGTTCCAAATATGCCTCTTTTGTGAGTTGAAGCATGTACAGTAAGTTATATCCTGGTGCTCTTTTGGTCTAGTCTAGTGACAATGTTAGTGCTCAACTTACAGATTTCAAAGGTGTGCATTGCTGTTTGAATAGAGAGGTAGCTTGCTTGCTGCTAGCTTGAATTGATAGCTACTTCAGGTTGCTTTTGTTGATTCTTAATGTTAGATGCCATGGTATGTAGGACCTTGGAGGTGACCTGTCCCCCAAGGAAAGCAAATTTTGCTTCCTACAAATAATACTGAATAATACTTTAAAAATTAGTAATACTGAATATGTTATGCATTTATTCGGTTTGATAGTGAAGCTTTCACACTTGAACGGCTCCCTATAAAATTGAGCTAGTTCCTTCTGTGCAATTCTACTAACGTGGAGTTACGGAACGTTGTCAATCATGCGCCATCTAAGCTTGTGTGCCACAAACCAATTCCTAAACCACATACGTTTAAGTTTTACTTACTGCCGTGTTGCCTTTCAGCTTGTTTGTTTTCACCAACGTAGTGATACAAAAAAAACCCTACATAGAAATGATCATATGTTCTCACTGAAGTCATTTCATCTAAGCTCACCCTGACTGCGGCTCCATTTTGAGCTTGAGCTTATATTGTTAGAAATTAATGTAAGGCTCGGCTATATATGGTTGATTTGAAATATGGGCGAGCAGTATAAAATCTATTGATGCAATTAACAATAAACCTGCCCCGGAAGTTGCCTAGTTTTAGTATAATAAGTAGTAACTTCAAGAACCGTAACTGCGGGGAACTTATTCTATATGAAGCTGATTTGATAAACTAATCACCTCAATTTTATTTACAGTAGCATCTTTTGCATGCCTAATGATTTCTCATGCACACTGTTTTAAATTAAGTATGATGCATTTAAATAAGCATGAAAGTATGATTAAACTAAGGAGTGAAGAATTCGCTGTTTATGTGCTGTATCTATGTGCCTATGAACAGTATATGCTAAATGTGCATGTCATGGCACTGGACTGGAGTATGGCACTGTAGTACTCCCTCCGTTCCTAAATATAAGTCTTTTTAGACATTTCAAATGGACTACAACATACGGATGTATGTAGACATATTCTAGAGTGTAGATCCACTAATTTTGCTCCGTATGTGGTCACTTGTTGGAATCTCTAAAAAGACTTATATTTGGGAACGGAGGGAGTATATAGCTAGCTAGTTTGTTTGCCGACCTTTTCTTTCGTTCACCAATACCTCTGCTTGTGCTCTTCGCTAAAAAAATATAATTCCTTTTGTCAGGGGAGGAATTAAATCTCCGTGGTCTCGAAGGAAAAGGAAAAGAGTACTTTCTCGTCAGCAGTGGGACGGTCAATTTTCAGCTAATGGGAAACTTCGTGATGGGGGAAAGAAGGTCCTAAAGAAAGTCCGTAGTGGGGTAAGCATAGTTATTCATTTGCATATATGGCCTGCATATGTACTTGTCTATGATGCTTGGTTGTAGTTTACACACTGAAAATTTACACTTCTCTTACTGTACCAGGGTATTGAACCAGGCATTCGGGCTGAAGTTTGGCCCTTCCTACTAGGAGTGTGAGTTACTTGATCTCTTCTATTCTTAGTAGTAAGATTCATATCTTTGACCAAATTTGAGATGTCAGCTACATACAAATATTCCCCAGAGCACCTTGTTGGATGACGATGTAGTCAGTTAAAGCAAAAGATAATCAAGATGATCGGCAGATGTTTTAGGGAGGAAATAGGTGCATATGGCTGTAGTACTACAGTAATAGCATTACCACCAAGTGCTATCCTGCAAAACGCAATGTGCACACACGCGCATGAGCTTGGATGGATGTCTTTTTGGGTGTGTCATTCATGCCTATGGTCACTGCTGCGGTCATCAACACACTTGTCTTCATCATTGGAATGCTTGGTGTCATTCTTGATTGTGTACGAACCCGGCTTATTAACTAGTAACTCAAAATATAGGACAGGGAATACAGTGCTCGTACGTATCGATCTTATCATGAGCAATGAGTGTGGTTTTGTGACCTTATCTTATGAACATGCACGTATCGATCTTGTCATGAGCAATGAGTGTGATTTTGTGACCTTATCTTATGAACATGGGCAGCAATCTTATAAGAATGTGCAATTGCAATATTACCTTCAATTTGTGGTTGATATCCTAAATTATGTTTAGATTGTGTTTAAAAATTTAGTTTATATGTTCTTATTTAATATACTTTGCCACTTCAAATCCAGAGAGATTTACCTTGTCAATTTTGTGTGCAGCTATGATTTAAATAGCTCTTTAGAGGAACGGAATACCATCAGGATTAAAAAAAGGTACTGTATTAATATCTGAAGATTAGTTTCTTGATATAAATTGGTCTTTGCTTTATTGTAGCCTACCCCATCTTGTTTGGGACTAAAGGCTTTGTTGTTGTTGTTGTTGTTGTTGGTTTGGTTGAATTCCTGGTTTGAATTAATCATAAGCATTCCGCTCATTGCGCCATGATTCCATAACGAACTGAAAATATGTGATACTGCATAGGCAGAAACATTTTGCTCAGCAGTATCTTATTCCCCTGATTAATTCACACGAGAATGGTGGTGTGAATTTGTAACTGCCTAAAGCAAATGACCCAGTAAACCAATGATGTTCTACTGTTATTAATATCCTGCCTAATCTGTCAAGAGTTTTTGGACTTACATAGCTTTTGGTTCAGGAAAGAGTATGAAAAACTGAGGCGGCAGTGCCAGCACATTCTGAATGGGTACAGAGGAAGTGGGCTGAAGTCAATAAATGAAGTGAATAATGAGGAGTGTTCTGCTCAAGGAAGTGGTGCTGAAGGATCAGAATCGCCTTGTTTTGAAGATGTCAATGTCGAGAAGGCTTCTAGGTCACTTGAGGAACCGAAGCCTGAACACAGCGAGGCCGAGCAACTGGAGATCACTATGTGTGATGATGTTATAGAATCTATGGAAGAAGACACAAGCGAGTTAATTGATGCTTATCCATGCATAGCAGAGTCAGAATCTTCTGACTCCGAATCATCGGATGAAGATGACTCTGGAAGGATATCCGTGTGTGGCGAGGATAGCTGTGATCCGGATCCTAAATTTGCTAGGAGTTCTTCGTTCAAGGCGGATATTTTTCGGTCTAGCAGAACCTCAGAGGACTTCGCGACATGGCAACGCATTATAAGGCTGGATGCTACCCGCGCAAATGCGGAATGGATTTCGTTCTCCCGTAACCAGGCCGAAGTCCCCAAGGAGAAAGCCCTACAGTCTGCAGCATCTGTTGGGTTGAAAGATTATGACCATTTGGAGCCCCATATGATTTACCATGCTGCTCGGTTGGTCGGACTTCTTGAAGCGTATGCGATCTACGATCCGGAGATCGGTTACTGCCAAGGTATGAGTGATCTCTTGTCACCGATAATCGCGGTGATGGAGGAAGACGACGCTGCGTTCTGGTGCTTCGTGGGTTTCATGAGGAAAGCCAGGCACAACTTCAGGCTGGACGAGGTCGGGATAAAGAGGCAGCTGAAGATCGTGTCGCAGATCATCAAGCGCAAGGACTCGCACCTGTACAGGCACCTGCAGAAGCTGCAGGCCGAGGACTGCTTCTTCGTGTACAGAATGGTGGTGGTGCTCTTCAGGAGGGAGCTCACCTTTGAGCAGACCGTGTGCCTGTGGGAGGTGATGTGGGCCGACCAGGCGGCCATCCGTGCCGGGATCGGGAGGACCACCTGGGGGAAGATAAGGCTGCATGCCCCGCCGACCGACGACCTGCTGCTCTACGCCATCGCGGCCTGCGTCCTGCAGAGGAGGAAGCTGATCATCGAGAAGTACAGCAGCATGGACGAGATACTGCGGGAGTGCAACAGCATGGCCGGGCAGCTGGACGTGTGGAGGCTGCTGGACGACGCGCACGACCTGGTCGTTAACCTCCATGACAAGATCTGAGCTGATGCAGGTGCCCGCTCTCCCTCGTTCTCGCGGCGGTGGCAAAGGAGGCCTCGTCGGAACTTTGAGGTATCTATGCTGCTGCTGCAGCTGCTGCTGCTCGTCGAAAGCGTTCTGTTATCTTCTGTCAGGTTCCTGGCACACGAACGAACCCGTTCTTAGGTATAGAGGATGTTGTAACCTAGAGCGAGGGCGCCTGGGCGCGGCCTCGCATACGAGGCACTGAAATACGACTGCTATTCATTGTTTAACCTGTTATAGGCGAACCAACAGATATTTTTTCACGGATGACGGTTTCATCCACGCTGAAGGTATGAAGTAATAACCAGCACAGACAGAGGTGTCTTTGTGCGCAGTTTGTCGATGCAATGCAAGGGTCCAAAACGTTCTCTTCTGTGTAATGGTATGTATGTTGCACTTTGCACGCCTTGGTAGCAGCGGTACTTCCTGTATGCTGGAAAACTACTCCTTTATGCCTTGATTTGATCTTTTTGCCAAAAAAAGAGTCCAAAGTGTCTCATTTTCTGGCTGTAGAAGGGCAAGATGTGGGCTGTGCAATCGTGATATATTGATCGGTGCACCAGGCACATATATACGAGTACAGAGGGGGGTCACAACCTCAACTATACAGAGGAAACATGAGGTGGGCCCTATACACAAATATTCATGTACGTAATATACTCAACCCCCTCCCCCCCCGCGCCATGTAGTTGAAGCGGCGCC